AGAGAGAGAGAGAGAAAGAGAGAGAGAGAGAGAGAATACGTGAAAAAAAACAAGCTGGCAAACTCTAAATAGTTATGCTGACAGACACTAGGGGGAGTCAAAGTGCTCAATCTAGAAAGGTAGATAAAGTGAAGAGGATGGTGATGTCTGGTGATATACTGAGACTGAGGATCTCATACCCACGAGAATAAATAGATAGATAGATAGATAGATAGACAGAAAGATAGATAGATAGATAGATAGATAGATAGATAGATAGATAGATAGATAGATAGATAGATAGATAGATAGATAGATAGACAGATAGATAGATGGATAGAACAACAATAACGCCATGATCTCTGTACAGGCCTGATGGTGGTTGCCTCATCCCAAGACGCGTGTGGTTGGCCCGAAGAGGTAGAAGTAAGTGATATAAAGCAAACGTTCGTGGTGCTGGCTTACAACGCATCACAAACAGACACGAGCGCCCAAGTGAACTGCAGCACAACATTTGTCACCGGCGTATTCGGCAATGTCATGAGCCTACACGTGGAGCACTACAACATCTCTCAAGGTCTGTCCATCGAGTGGAATGACACCGAGGAACCCGATATTTCCTGGCGAGAGAACCAATTTGCGGGGGACATGACCATCAGGTACTACACATTCCAGGTCAGATACACGCGCCCACCAGGAATCTCCCCTTTAACTGAAGACGGTTTCAGTCTGCACTTTCGCTCTTTGGGTTTTCTTGAAGATGAGCCCTGCCCAAATGCTACGACTACACTACATGCATCACAAAAAACCGGTCTGCTTTTCTCGCCCCAATATCCACTGGGCACTTCGAAAGATGCGATATGTAAGTGGAATATTGAAGCTCCTCCAGGGTTTGTTCTCGACGTAAATCTCGCCTCCGTGTCCCATGAAGCCGGTTTGTTGATCGATGGGGAATCCAGGCTTCAGATGCCTAGAATGGCGGGAAAGACAAATGCGGCAATACAGAATCAAAAGAATTTTGGGACTTTTGTACTTGAATACACCGCCGTTCCAATGAAGAATGTGACTTGTAGTGCAAATGCAACAAAAGCAGCCAGTGACCTCGGGGACTGGTACGTGTTACAGTGGAGAATCCAGAGGGAGGAGACTGACCTGGACTGTGAGATGACCTTTGACACCGGCTCGGACGAGACAGTCGTTGAAGTTACACTCACAGACTACCGGCTTTCAACCGGTGGGGATTCCTGTGCAGACCAGACGCTCAGAGTCACGGACGTGAGTACAGGAACTGTGCTTGTCAATGAATCAACGCCACAAGGAGGACTGAACTGCCCCGGGAAATTCTGGCCGTTCTCGACCATCAGAGCCTCTGGCCGGAGACTGACCGTCGCGTTGTCCAGTAAGAAACACGGTAACGTCAACGACGCGGTCTTGACGCTGGTGGTCAAATCACGGGACATCTTTCCTGTCAGAAACACCGACGTGCAGGTTCTAGAGCAAGCGTCCTCCGTCTCTTACGCCTGGATTCCAGCGGATCAGATCAGCCCAAGCGGTGACCTCAAGATGACCATGAGGCGTACTCTGTCAGGAAACTGCAGCGTTTTGGAAGTGTGGGACAAAACTCTTGACTCCCGACTGGTGATAGCTCAGAGACTCTCAGTGTATAACGGGCTTTTCGATGAATACTTTGAGCTGACCAAAGACTGTAGCGGCAATGTTCCGACAAACAGGGCTCTTTACCCACGACGGATGATCTTGTTAGTCATGCACAGGCAAAACGAGGGGTTCTGGATCAGATACCAGGCCAATTCCGGCGGACCCTGTCAGAGAGTCTATACTCCTGTGGTCGGAACATCGTACACGTTATCAGAAACTATCAGATCGCGAAAACAGATAGATTGCTCTTGGCACATCACTAATGACGGGCTGATTGCTTTAAAAACAAACTTCTCGTCAAACACATTCTTAGTTCTGACTGGCAACCCTAACCACGAATCCCAACAACCTTTGCTGACACATCCTCAAACAACACGCCCGGACCCAAATCTATGGCTGTACTCATACCACAACCTAACTATAGACTTGACAGTGACCACCCCCACGCCTGAGTCTAGTTTGGAGTTCCAGTATAAGACACTCGCCGCCTCTAGCACTGTAAAGACATCGTGCCCGTTGCAGGACCTGACTGCCACACGCGAAATCCAGGGAACATCGTCCGTTAACTATCCTGACTACCTGATGTCTGGCATGCACTGTCAGTGGAACATCACCAGGGCTGACCCACGTGACCTCTTGGTCATTGATGTGGTGCTGAACAGTCGTTTCCTCAAGAACAAGTCTGCCAAGTTATCAGTGTATCTCTACTCTCCTGGGATCTCAAATGCCACGGAAGTGAGTGTCCCTCTTGATAGTGGCATTTTGGGATTTTCTCGAGCGTTCCCACAGGAGACCACGGTGGTCAGTCTGGAAGTCACACGTCCGGTAATGCAGGGCCTGTTCTTTAATTACTTTAGCATCCACCCGGAAGAATTAAGTGTCGCCTTGTGTAATAAAACCTTTCATCTGGGCGATGGGCCCATATCTCGTTCTGTCACCTTCGTAAAACCTTTTCCCTCCACATGTCGCTTTTTGTTTTCATCTGGTTCAGACAAACACGCTGTCATTCTGACCAACATGACCTATGACTTCAGTTCCCCCTTACAAATTGGAAAGGTCAGATTCTTCTCGGTGTTTAATAACACAATAAATCCATTGGAAACCATCGCTGCGCACACTAAGATGACGCCAAACATGTCCATTGTCAGCCAAAAAAACGAGATGCTTGTGCAAGTTGATCTACGTACGCTCGTGGAGAGGCCCCTGAAATTTACATTCACTGCAGACACGATTCCAATCACTGGTTGTGGGGGCACCTCATTGACCATCACGGTGCCATCCACCGGGGAGTACCAGAACATTACGTCACCAAACTACCCAGAGCCCTACCCTCCCAACTCACTCTGCAGATACATTTTGAAACCCCAGGACGCCACAAAATTGATCGAAATAAACCTGGTTGACCTGGATGTCCCCCGGCTCCAGCCAAATAAGTCTTGCTTTAATGATTATAACGAAAACGATGATTTGTTGGTCATTAACAGAATATATCATTTTTGTAACAACAGCCTCGAACAAAACAATCCAATTAACATAACCAACGCGGACGGCGAGATTTATTTTGTGTCAGGGTCGGAGCTCGAAGGACGCGGGTTCCTGATCAGATTCCGTGCCATCGATGGGTTTCATTATCACTTCCCTTTATTCGATACTAATAACGACTACGTGATCGGTATCGTTTGTGGCGTGACGGCTGGGGTTTTCCTTATCGGAACGGCCTTGTTCTTTCTGATTTGGAAACGCACAGGCTGTTTAACGAGCACTCAGCCTGCAGTTGTCTACGCCTCAGACACAAACAACAAGGTCACTATGAGTTACGCAACGACGAGCGCGATGGACTCACAAAAGTGAGTCCTTTAGAATAAACTCCCAGAATGTTTGTGCCACACATAGATGGGCATCATCCTCGACCACACACTTTGACGAATTTCTATTTCACGACGGAGCCCATCATTTGCTCCTATTGAAAGACCGAAGGGGGGGGGGTGCTTGCATTCGACTAAAGCGAGACTGGTGTTTCGCCCTTTATTTGGGCGAAATGGCGCTGCCCATGGAGCGCACCGTCGCTGTCACAAGCAGTCCACTTCAGCCAATTTTTTTACCATAAAAAAGTCAAATTTTTAAAAGAATTTTCAATTTTTACACCCTCGCAAGGCTGCATCTTTCAACGGCATCAAAATTCAGCGTAATGCTGTAGTCGAGGCTTACAATTGTGAGGCAGCGTGGTGGAATCAGGCTCTCGTCAATTTTTGGGCATGTACAGTTATTTGTATCATCTTAAAGCTTGTTCATTTGTCTTTATTTGGATGGAAAAAATATCCATTTATCTTGAAAGCAAGTCGCGATATTTGCGAATGAAGGAGGTGGGGTCACCTGTTTTCAGAGGTAAAATTAGTGAGAAAATGGCCGCCAAAGATTTGTTATTTCCTTAGCTTAAGAGTCCGTGGCAACAGAAAGTTTACATTTATTGTACCTTTAAAGAGCGTTTTTCAGAAAAATCAACACCGAAATAAGTTCTTTAACGGGCATGAAAGGTGTTGAGCCCAAAAACAAAAATTTGATAAAAATTCACAAACCTGCAAAAAAAAACAACAAGTTTCTTCACTTTGATTAATTTGACGAGAGCCTAATTCCACCGCGCTGCCTCACAATTTTCTTGCTTTTCATGGTTCCTAATAGGAACAGCACAAAAAAACGAGTATTTGGTCTCTGGTGTAAAAAGTACCCAAACGGACTTGTGTGCATTGCTTGCGACACCAACACGCATTCTTCGTACCGAAGTTTTTCGTCGTAGAGCAAAGAGCGGCGACCATGACAGTGTGTGCTCTACGAGTGCATGTTTTGGATGGCAAGCGATTTATTCGAAACCTACATACACTAATCATACTAGAAAGATATTTTACATTTCACCGGAAAACGTGTTATATATATATATATATATATATATATATAAAGGGAACGTGGGGGGGGGGGGGGTACGTAGATCAACAATCGTTTGTCTTATGACAAGACCTGGCCCTGTAAATGTTTGCCCATGTCTTATGTTATGACATAACTTGACCCTCTAAATGTCCACCCATGTCTTATGACAAGACTTGACCCTGTAAATGTCCACCCATGTCTTATATTATGTCTTATGACAAGACTTGGTACTGTAAAGTCCACCCATGTCTTATATTATGTCTTATGACAAGACTTGGTATTGTAAAGTCCACCCATGTCTTATATTATGTCTTATGACAAGACTTGACCCTTTAAATGTCCACCCATGTCTTATATTATGTCTTATAACAAGCCTTGACCCTGTAAATGGCCACTCATGTATTATGTTATGACAAGACTTGATCGTGTAAATGTCCACCCGTGGACAATGACAAAATTTGACAGTCTAAATATTCACCCATGACCTATGACAAGACGATCCTGTAAATGTCCACCCATGTCTTATGACAAGACATGACTCTGTAATGTCCATCCGTATCTTATGACAAGACTTGACCCTGCGAATGTCCAGCCATGTCTTATGTTATGACAAAACTTGAAACTGTAAATGTCCATCTATGGCCTATGACAAAGCATGGCCGTCTAAATGTCCACCTATGGCCCATGACAACCCTTGACCTTCTAAATCCCCACCTGAGCCACAACAAACAATGACGCCCCGCCCCTTGCACACAACTGAATTTCTCCTTCTTCACTCCAACCCCGGTGAACTTGGGAAAGCTCCTTCTCCCAGAACTATCTTCAATATTATCTTCTCCATAGGGATCCAAGCCACAACTGCACAAAGACATCTCCGTTCTGCAGTAAGGCATCATGCAGACTAGCCAACACTGGGCTACTAATAATAATTTCATTAATACAGCGCATATCATATATATTGTGTATTTAATGTATGTATGTATTTATGTATGTTTCTATGATAGTTATGTATTTACGTATGTATATTCGCAATTGTAACCCAGATTTCCCCAGGGGGATGAATAAAATAATTTATGTTTATTTTATTTGTTTATTCACGCTATATTTACAGCATACTCTCTCTCTCTCTCTCTCTCTCTCTCTCTCTCTCTCTCTCTCTCTCTCTCGACAACAACAAAGGCGACATCAGTAATTATTCCGACAAAAGCAACTTAACGTGTATAACAAGAACTGTTTCAACAAAAAGATTATCATCATCTTCCCCATAAATCATGTGAAGCATAGGTCGATGACACGGCGTTTAGGTTGTGAAATGGCGATGGTGAAATGGTATAGGTTTAACAACCCTATCAACACTGTTAGTTTATTAAAGAGGCGGGACCTCCGAGTTTAATGTCCATGTCCGAATGAACTGAGCCAAGTAAGAAATTCGTGTAAAGTGCTTTTCCCAAGGACACAACGTCGGACCGAGCTGAGGCTCGAAACCCCGAATCCGGAATCTCACGAGTACGACTCCGGTAGCCTGACCACTAGGTCACCGACGCCACTGTTTATATGTCTTATGTTATAAGTATTTGGGTGTTACAATAGACAACAAACTCAACTGGCGTGTCCACACTTCTCTCCTGCATAAAAAAGTGAACAAAAGACTATTTTTTTCTTAGAAAGCTAAAGTATTTTAAAGTTGATAAAACATTGATGTCCATGTTCTACCATTCAACCATAGAAAGTATTATCGATTTTTGTATAACAGCATGGGCCGGGAACACAAGACAACAAGATAAAGAAAAATTTAATCGACTAATACGGAAAGCATGTAAAATTTCAACATCTTCATTTCCCTACTTGGATGAATTGTACATAACAGCTTGCACTAAGAAAATTAATTCCATCTTTTTTAGACAACAAACATCCCTTGTTCCCTCAAATAAAAACATCAGTCAGAAGTAAAAGACCCATGCTTCTGATCTGTAACAAAGAAAGATACAGAAGGTCATTTTTACCATCATCTATCAAAATGCTTCCATCTTAACCATCTTGTTTAGTGTACTTACGACCTTAGAGCATGCATCAAAATAACATTGAGTGTGTATCTAGCTTACGATTATCATTGTTTATGTTGCTGCTCATTTATATTATGTATGTCATTGTAAGCCTACTTGTGTGTGCATGTGCGTGCACGTGTGTACGTGTGTGTGTGTGTGTGTTTGTGTGTGTGTGTGTGTGTGTGTGTGTGTGTGTGTGTGTGTGCGCGTGCGTGCGTGTGTGTGTGTGTGTGTGCGTGTGTGTGTGTGTGTACTCGTGGTGGAACAACAAACCAATGTGCCAGGATCTGGACAATAAAGATGTATCTTATCTTATCTAGGTGGGTGGTCACTGGAGTGTGTCCTCGAGCAAGACACAATAACCCAAACTAAAACAAAACAAAACAAAACAGGGTGCTGCTCAGTGGCTACTACCAATGGTGTATTGTAGTACATCTGTGATGTACGTATCTATTTATTTCTGTAAACATGTATTTATGTATGAATAATATTATATTATGTCCGTCATTGCAAACCAAATTTTCCCAGAGGAAGCTGCAAAGTAGAACTTGTGTTACTTTTATTTATTTCAAGGCTTATATATTGTCAAGTCTGTCAGATTTTGAGCAAAAATAAACTTTTCAGGGGCTGTACGTGTTAATTAAGCAGAGCGTTCTCCCACATTGACAATTTCCCTTCCTGTGTGTTTTTTAAAAAGATTTTTATTCCCTATTTCGTTTATAAATGTTGTTGTTGTTGTTGTTGCTTGTTTTGTTGTTGTTGTTGTTGTTGTTGTTGTTGTTGTTGTTGTTGTTGTCTGTTTTCTTTTTATAAATCTTTTTTTCCTTGCCTGTTTCTTTATGTATATATCTTTTTGGATTTTTCTAAAGTTCCACAAGAGAAAACACTATTTCACTCGCTGTTAACTTTAATTTCACAACACCAGTGTGGATAATACATGTTATATTCAACACATTGTAATAGCAAGCTGTGATGCCTAGAGCCACTAGATCTATAAAATAAAAGAAGCTAATAAAGAAATATATTATTATGTCCCTTTCTTAATTGTGACTTCATTTCTACCCAAAAATCAAAGAAGCACCAAGTAGAAATGGGCAAAGGATCGATTCCTGAACCGAGTCCCGTGATTAGCGCTATAGAAGAAAAGCCCCGATTCCTTTTTACGTAAACAAGTGGTTGCCATTTACAATGCATTTTATTCATTAAAATGTTCTTTTTTATTAAGAATGTATTATTGAAAAAAAAAGTGCTTCACAGTGTTCCAAAATCAAGGTTATCCTAAATCCTGAAGTTGTTCGGAGCCAACCAGGTAACCATTGGGAGAAATCACAATATTAGAAAGTTATTGCGTTCAGGTCCGATTTCTACTATTCCTAACTATCAATAATTCGGGAACCTGGCCGCACACCACTGGCACAAACAGTGGGCTGGGGTGGAAGGATGCGGGGCAGCAATTTGAAGACAAGGAAGAAATTGGGCTCGAACTACATGTAATTAATGCTGCGCTAAGGACTCTGGGCGAAGCGGACCTACGTGGTCACTACGATTGACCGTTGGCTACACCAGAGGAACAAGTGCATGGCTATCAACGACTGTAATCATAATCATCATTGCCTTTCTCACCATGGGTCTGGATATAGGCCACGAACAAACACTCTCCACGTTTCACTATCCTGAGCTAGTCGCTTGATGTCACTCCACGTCTTCCCACTTTTCTGTACATCCTTTTCCGTGAATCTTCTACAGGTTCCACGTGATCTTCCTTTTGAACTTTTACCCTGTGGGTTCCAATCTAACACTTTTTTTAGCTATGCAGCTGCTTGATTTCCTGAAAGTGTGTCCAATCCATCGCCAACGTCTTCTTCCCACCTCATCTCTGAATGGGCTCTATCTCGTTCATCTTAATACTTCCTCGTTGGTGATCCTGTCTGTCCATTTGATCCTCAGTAGAACGGCTGTAATGTTGAATAGAAAACATGTGTCTGTCGGTAATACCAAGTTTCATGTCTGAAAAAATAAAATTGTTGATTTAATATAACAGGGGAATGTTAATTCTGGGACAGACCTCGTATCATATGATGTATAGAAAATGACGTTTTGTTGTGTTAAAACCCTTATTTAGGCTGCCAAAAAAGTGTTTTCCAAAGTGATGAATAGAAAAATAAGTGTTGCCATGGTCGCAGTTCACTTTATTCTTGTTTAGTTTTTCTTGAAACATAACAATTTTCACCCTGTCAGCACTTATGTAACCTAATATCGGCACCAGAATCAGGACACGGGACCAAAAACAACCCAACCCCTAAAAGTGCTGCGAAGGTCAGTATGCCTGCAGAGGAAAATGCGGCCACAATTAAAAGATTCACTATTATTCAAGATACTAATATTCAATAAATTTACTTTCGTTTTCATTTGAAAAATGACGACACATGTGGAGTGACGCTCTTTTACGACCAAATTACTCGATAAATGTAGTGATTCATTGTTACAACAAGGGTTACATTAAAGATAATAGAGAGTTAGGAAAGGGAGCGTTGTTGTACCTAATTACTACCTTAGAATTACAAAGCTCTATCTGACATTTTTTGACGTTTTTGAGTTACTACAATCATGAAGTCAGAAACGAAAAATTTTAATATTCTATCTGCTCTATCAAAATCGTATGGTTATTTGGAGTCGTTATCAAGACATTCAAAAAATTGCATTCGAAAAAGCTTGTGACACTCAAATTTCTCAAAAAGGTACTGGGCAGATAGATCGTATGTCACGACACGGTGGAACCAGACGCTCGTCAATTGTGCATGTGGAGTTTTTGGTATCATCTGAAAGCTGATTTATTTGCCTTGTTTCCAATGAAATAAATATCCGTTTATCTTGAATAGAACTCAAGATATTTGTTATTGAAGAAAGTGGGGTCGCCTGGTTTCTCAGTGGTGAAATTAGCGAGAAAATGGCCGCCAAAGTCTGACAACTACAATAGTTAAAGTCTGTGAAAACTGAAAAATGACATATTTTATGCCTTTAAACAGCGTTTTTCAGTAAAATTCACATGGAACTGTGTTTTAATATCGACATAAAAGAGGTTAACCCCCAAAATTTAACTTCAAAATTTCCCACGTTGGCGTTGAACTCACACCAAAGAAGTTATATTATATAATACTAGAGCTCGCACAGTGACGTCACACGTCCCAGACATGGGGGGGGGGGGGGGTTCTTACCCTCATCAGCATGGCCGGCGTGCCCCTATTTACATGGACAATCTGAGCGCCCATCCCACTCCCCACGAGCTCGAGTATATTAAACACGATCTTGGCCCCATATTTCAGTGCAAGCCTGTAGATTTCCTCCCCAGACCGCCGAGACGCCTCCAAATGAGTCTCGAAAAGTTCTCCCCTGTCTGTTGAACTACACAAACATGACATGTATTGTTGCCTAGAAGTTCAGCGTCCCAGAGTAGGCACACGCAGCCCCTATTAGTTTGTGTGGGGGACATCACTACCACAAACTCCAGTACTAAATATAACCTCTTTGGTTCACATTTATTACGTGCTGTGCTTCTTTTATCAGTAAAGTACACGCACCGGTACACACACACACACACACACACACACACACACACACACACACACACACACACACACACACACACACAGGCAGGTGAATTCACCTACACGGTCTGACAATTTATAACCATCGTGCGATAACAACATATTGCTTTACATAACAACATTTTTATCTTTCATTTATACTTCATCGTTTAGGCTCTTGTGATACCGAGTCTTAAGCAGACTTCAGAACTGATTGTGTACGCTCGTTCAACTTGTCGAATCTGCAGGATCGGGTCAGGCTGCTGGGATGGACAGCATACACTTATAAAAAAGGAAATCAGCGTGCGCGAACTTTGGCCACCGTAATAGGCTATGCTCTCCAAGGCTCGTCGTCGATATTTTAGTACGAAACTATGACATTTGCCAAAGTTCACAGCCTAAGCACACACTATTTTGTAGGAAAACGAGTAGCGTTTTAGGAGTCCTATAATCATATTCACGTATTATTATCATCATCATTATTTTTGAGAATGGAATCCCCCCCTCCCCCCAAACCTTTCCCGTTGATAAACATTTTTCTCATACAAATAAACCATGAGCATGGCATCTGAAAAGGGCACACCGGACGCTAGAACCCCCCCCCCCCCAAAAAAAAAAAACACCAGAAAAAAACCAATAAAACATCTGAGATACTCCAAATTGAAAACACCTGAAGGAAATCAGATTTCCTGTTTGTCCTCAGATTTTATTAAAGTAATAAGATTTTGATAAGTTTGAACCCCCATTTAACCTCTGAGGTAAATATACTGACAGATTGCAAGCCTATCACAGTACTAGCTCTAAAGAGATGTGATTAAAATGCTGCTGAAGGTTATGCGCAGCTACTTATATTCTCTAAAAGTTTGCTTTTACTTTCAATGACTTGTAGCACACTCAACAATTCTGGGGTAACGGAGACCCAAAGAGTGTTTCAGATTTCCAAAGAGTCGCACACAGAAGACGTTTATTTTCAATTACGCTCATCGGTCTAAATTAATTTAGGAATTTAGGTCTATGAAAAAATACTTGATTGGGGTATTTGGAATACATTGATTCCAGAACTGAATGTATTTGTCCACAATGAACCAAATAGATCTATATTACGTCTTTCGAAATACTTACAAACAAGTCTATCCTTCGCGCAGTTTGAAAGGGAATCAAGCATTAACCCTTTCACTTTCATGAGTACTTTTAGATACTACAAAAAACAACAACATTAGCTGGCTCTCGCCAAGACAGTGAAGAGGTTAAAATGCTCCGTCCAGCTTTTCACCTAAGATAAACCAAATACAAATGTATAAGACATACATAGCTACTTGTCTAAATCTATTAATATCACTATACAATGTAACAAAAATTCCAAGTACGTTGTAGTAAACTCAGTGTGTGGGTAGTTGACGGGCGCTCTGGTGTGGTTTGCTCCATTTTTCCTATAAAGAAATATATCTTCTTTATCTCCCCCTCCTTTTATTTTATGTTTGTTACTCTCTTGTAACACCTCTAATCTTCGGCACCTATAAGACCTTATTGTGTTGCAAGTGCCGTAAAACTATTACTAAAACTAAAAAGTAAAACTCAATGTAAACGTACAATAACGAGCCTGCTGTCAGCCAGCCGTTTTGGTGTAGTGGCTAGGCCCTTCATCGTCGCAAGCAGAAGATCTGAAGTTGATTTTCCACCAGGGGAAAATTCTTATTGAGTATTTCGATCTGTCTTCTGGGAATTTGTATTCTTCTGAGACTGAGGTGGCCAGGATTGAAACCCGCTTCCCAAATGATCCACGTTGGTTTGGTTGGGGCGTATTATCACCCCCATCTTCAACTAAAATGATTTTTACAGCCTACCGCTCTTTAGTTGCAAGAACCCCGTGATGGTGGTCAGAGATAGGCAGGTCTATCATGAACCCATTACCTGTATCAAACTTTAATTGTGGACATCGCAAATTGTTTGCCTAGAAACTGGGCTGAAAAACTTGTCTTAGCTTCGAAAATATTTTGCTGCAGATATCAGATCAACAGACAAGGCGTTCTTCAAATTCTTGACACCAAATTGTTATCAGGTAAGACCATTTTCGAAGTAGTCGTTGCTGTGACTCCGTTGAAAATGATAAAGACAGTTCTCTAAATATATTCACATTTTTCGCATACACCATGTCTTTCGATAGTCAGTGTGTACGCCCATAGATTTTCCTCTCACAACATGACATAATTCTTGGACCGATGTTTTGTTTTTGGGAAAAGCTCTTTATACGAATTTCCTTCACTTTACCAAGTTTGAATGGACACCCGACCATAGATACTGAAAGAACTTGCTGGTGCCAGTGCTAGTGTTTTAGTGCCTGTAAAATGGCAGCTTGTTCTATACTCTTTCCAGGAAGCAGAGATTATTTCGGAATACTGTCAGGTCTGCTGGGGTAGTAATGACATATACGTTATGCAGATTGTTAACCCCATAGAGCTTGCAAAATTTTGCTGTTGAGTGGAATTCGCACTATAAAAACATCATTTATTTATGTTGTACGATTGTGTGTTTCCTTTTAGTTGTTCCTCTGCACTGTATTCCATCAGTGCAAGCTTTATAAAAATAATAATTATAAATAATAAATAATAATTGTTTAGCGCAAATCCAGCTCTATGCGCTTTAAAACAATCCAAATTATTACCCCAGCAGATCTGATAGCACTCTGAAAAAACAATCTCAACTTCCTTGGAATCACACAGTGCAAGCTGCCATTTTACAGGCGCTAAAACACTAACACACTGACAAGATCTTTTTCTATCTATGGCCGGGTACCCATTCACACCTGGGTTAAGTGAAGAAAACTTGTGTAAAATGCCTTTCCCAAAGACACACGTCGGGCCTGAGGCTCGAACCCCCGAACCCCCGAACCTGCAACCTCACAATTACGAGTCTGGTAGCCTAACCACAAGACGACTGCTTGACGCGTTTTGTTTGCGCAAAAGTCAGGAGTCTACGAGGGAAAACACATAGTCACAAAATAGGTGTCATGAGAGTCTCAATTTTCAAAGTTCGTAGACTCAAACCCATTTTTCTATTCCATTGTCGGGAGACTATCGCTACCTCAGAATTGCAAAGTTCTATTTGACATTTTTGGCCGTTTTGAGTTACTGAGACCATCAGATCAGAAACCAAATGTTCCATCTTCTTTATCAAAATCGTAAGATTATTCGGAGTCGTTATAAAGACATTTAAAGAATTGCATTCGAAAAAGCTTGACATTATGTAAAACTCAAAAGCTTTGAGGTCAGATTTCTCAAAACTAGGATCTGTACAGATAGAACTTTGTAATTGTAATTCTGAGGTAGCGACATTTTTTGTTCTATTTCCCATTCAACTAACAAAAATTGCAAACCAATAGTCGAACAGAAAAGAAGTTACGAATTTAAGTTTTTTAAAAACTTTTGAAGTTGATTACTTACTTACTTTACGTTTTCCTTCCTTTTTCGAAGTTGATTACTTACTTACTTTACTTTTTCCTTCCCCTGGTATCATTGGGATATCGAGGGGAGGTGCAGGTTTCGGTCCTGTGCTAAATCGCTAACTTAGAATTACAAAGTTCTCATATAGTCTCATATCATGTCTAGATCTAGCTTTTTTTCGGATGCAGTTTTAAAAATATCTTGATAACGACTCCGAATAATCTAACAGTTAATTTGATAGAGCAGACAGAATATTTATTGGTTTCTGACCTCACTGTCTTAGTAACTCAAAACGGCAAACATATCAGATAGAACTTTGTAATTATGGGGTAGCAAAGTGTGAGGCGTCAGCGATTGATTTAGCACGTTGTACCAGAATTCTTTTACCCCCATGCAGCCAGGTTTCTCTTGGTCTTCCTCTTGATTTGAAGCCAGATTCATGGCCGGGTGTGATAAGCTATCGAAACTGATATTCTCTCAATTTCCATTTTGTGACCGTGTCCTTTTTTCCAGTAGTCACATCTACTATTTTAGCTTTACTATCCGATTAAAATATTGTTGGCACGCTGATGAATACTGTTATTAGTCCAGAAAGCATGTTCTTTTTCATGAGGGAAAGAAAACTGCTTCGTTCTTTTTAAAATTATACCAACATTGTAGATCAATATCTTTTCTTGGTATTTTCAACACTTATACTTTGAATTTTGACAAAACATTCTTTAAACACATGCAACTGGTACCACAAATTAAGAAATTGGAATTATATAAATGATATATACAGTGGATGTGGTAAACATTTGAACTGCTAGCCGACGAAATATTATGTGCTTTTACCTAAGCTAGAAAAGAACACATACGTGTAGTATGGTGTTGGCTGAACCAGTGCCTCACACACTGAAAGTGTTTCCAACTAGACAGAGACAAGTCGAACCAATGTCCAGGAATCAAATGGTTGTCTCATGCAGGTGGACGGTGTTATTCTGGTATTTAAAAAAAACGCAGAGGGGAAGTTGGAAGGGGATATAAACCAGTACATTGAACAATGCTAAAGCTGCTGATTAGGGGCACGTTACTCTCAGAGAAATTCATATATTTCATCCCAGATAACTCTCGAGGCCCAAAAACAAGGAAATACAGTTGGGCCCGATCAAATGACCACCTGCCCGAGGACAATTACCAATAAAAACGACCCCTTCCAACACCATCAGATTGTTTAAGAGGCGAAACTTCCAAATTCAACGTCTGTCTCCGATAGGACGGAAACATAAGGAAGGAGAACCTTGAAAGCTCCCTCAAAACAGCCAAGTTCGGAACACCCTGCTCGGGGATTCGAACCATGGCCATCTGCTTCGTTGTCCAGCACGATATATACCAACCGGGATAACAGAGCTCACGCAGTTTCAGCTAATTATTCCCAAATTGTAAGACCCTCAAAGTACTCCACCAATTTTCCTGTTATTATTTTTTTCGCTGTTTTTGCTGGAGTCAGAGAAGAAATTTCTTCAATAATTGGTCGCTTTTAAGCACAAGGGGGCTATCCCGAAAAATGCTGTTTGGAGAAAATCGAAGGTAAAGTTTTTGGACTCTTGTTCAGTTTTTTTTTAAATGACAAGGAGAGTTTTTCATAACCAAACAAATATACACACGAATGAAACCAAACTTCTCCTATAGGTAGGGCAACGCCCACTTTTGGTGTAGGTCAGGATTTCTGGAAACACCCGAAATCTGAGTTAGCCTGCTTGTCCTTAAAAGCGACCAATTATACTTCTGCACGTTCGCATAAACACACATACACATAAACACAAACAAATATTCACAGGTGGTGTCAGTGGCCCAGTGATAATCGGGCTACTGCACATGTACTCATGAGATTGCGGTATTAGGAGTAATAGCGTGTTCGTTGTGTCTTTGGGAAAGGCGCCTAACAAGAATTTCCCATAATTTGGCTCGTTCCTTTCGAAGATGGATGTTAATCTCGGAGGTCCGCCTCCTAAATAACCAAATAGTCTATACCATTTCAACATTTTCACGTATTCACACACACTATTATTGGTTCTCTCCTAATGCACATCGTCAACAACGTTTGTGTGTGTCTGTGTTCTCCCAGCAAGTGACGCCACCTTCACCATGTTCCTTCTGGAGATTACCGAGCACCTTGTGCTGGCCTTAGTGACCTTCACCCTGCTGGGCATATATCGGCGAGCAGGGGGCTGGGAGGTGCTCAGGATTTTGGTGCTAGCCGTAAAACAGGTAAGAACTTTGTATTTAGTGCATGTGTTTTTACGCCCCCATAGACACATTTTGGATCATTTAGGAGGCAGGCTTCGAAACTGTCCATTTTTACTGAGAGGGATACAACATTCCATCAAAAAGACTGAGACACTTGATTAAGAAATAAAACTTTCCCCCGAAAAGGAACACTCGGATGTTCAGCATGGGACGACGAAGCGCTTAGCTGCTCTATAATTTATAATAATAACCCCTGAACCAGACATCACACCTCCAAGTACATTGTATTACCCCAGCAGACCCAAGAACACCCAGAACACTAACAAACTGACAACATCTTTCACTGTCTTCCGCCGCGTTCTCATTTCTGTTTGGGTGAAGTGAGAAAAATTCGTGTAAAGTGACTTTTCTGCTTCTTTTAGTAAATAAATGATTATTCTCGTCCCTACTTATTTCTCTCTAACAAAATCAGTAGACCCTGCTATTCCCGCGCTCATATGACCTTATGCAGTTGCGAGCGCCGTAAAACCCTGTACTAAACAAACAGACCCTGCTACGTATTAAGCCCCAAATCCCTAAAATCGACAAAATTGCCCATCGGGCAGGGAAAATGTCGGTTTCTTTGATTTTACTATTTTGACGAGTGCCATCTGTGACCTATTTATAGCCCGACGGTGACCTTTAACCTTCAGATGCCTGGCGTTGGACCACTGTTGAGCTCTGTACTGAAGTCCGAGGCGAGTAACTTCATCAAAACGACCAAGCTCGCTTCTAAAGGTGGACCTCCTGCTGCTGTCGTCCTACCGAAGAAGGGTACGGATGTGATAATATATTTCTTGTTTGCCCTGTTTGCTGTTGTTGTTGTAGCTGCTGCTGTTGTTTTTGTTGTTGGTGGTGTGGTGGTGTGGTGTTGTTGTTGTTGTTAATATTGTTGATGGTGTTACTATCAACAGCAATCATAGTGATTGTCATGGTCAAAGTGACGATGATGATGATATTGAGGAGAAGAAGGTAGAGAAGAAAGGGGAATGTACACCTCTGGCCCTAGTGTTTCTCTTTCTCTGGCCTCTCCGATTTGTGGTCACCGCACTCTTCTGTTATTATATTCCTTACCTCCACGCACCTCCCCCCCTCCTCTCTCTCTCTCTCTCTCTCTCTCTCTCTCTCTCTCTCTCTCTCTCTCTCCCACTTCTGGCCTTTGTGTTCCCCTCTCTCTGGCCTTTCCGATTTGTACTCACCGCTCCTTTAAGTGTTGTGACATTAATATGTAAGCACTTTAGTTTTTACAGCACGTGTAGATCTAGATTCTTGTCATTTATATTGTGAATGTTCCTGAGGAAGCTCGTTGAGGGCGAAACGTTGAACTTGTGATTAAAAAATTTGGAAATACTACCAGGTCTAAACTGTTTTAATATCTGCTTTATACAATGATGATGATGATGATGATGATGACGACGACGACGATGGCATTAATGATATTATACTGTACATTTATAACACGGTCCAAACAACTAACAGGCAAAGGAAAAGACGAGCTCTTGTCGCGGATGAAGGAGCTGCAAGAGAAGGAGTCGGACCACCTGGAAGGGAAGACGTTTGCCTACACCTACACCGTCACGGACGATCACTACCAGCTGCAGAAAGACGTCTTCGATCTTTTTACTGGTTGGTTTGTTCCGGGGTTTTTTTTTGCTGTTTTTTTTTCTGGTGGTTGATTTTTATGCGGGGGAGGGGGGTTGTTGCTGTTCATTTGATTTTTCTAATTACATTTTTTAGGGAGGCGGTAATTTCTATTTATTTATTTATTTATTTACTTATTTACTTATTTATCTATTTATTTATCTATTTATTCTTTGGGTTTTTTTTGGGGGGTTCTTGCGATATTTTTTCGATATGTTCATTCCTTCAGTTATTGCTTTATTGAGCGTTTGTCTCAATTGATTGATTGATTGATTGATTCTTCTCTTGCTCAACTGTTTTGTTGGCTGTTTAGAAAAGAACGGAAAGATGGACGAGTGGTTGGATAGACGGATAAACGGATCGATGCACTTCAATATCGTTGATTGGACGTGTTAGCATTATTTGGTCCACATATCATGTCCTCGATCATGGCTATTCGGGGCCTTTGTGCGAAGGAAAAATTAAATATTGAGTGAATGCACAGAAAAGACGGATGTCCTACATTCTTGTGTAACAGCGCTCATCTTTTCGCATTCATGCCATCACTGCTTCTTCGCCTTCTATATTCACTCCATTCTTGGTCTTTATGCTGATTTTTCTTTTACGCCAAACGTTTCTTCATAATTTCATAGCTTGCTCATAGTCTTGTTTTGTTTTAGTGGCACAAATAACGCAATTAAGCCACAAAAATGGCAAAGATAAGATGTTAACAAATGCAAAAAAGAAGGGACGAGCAGAGATTAGGACGAGAGATGTTTGGCAGGAAAGAAGGAAATTATTCATAGTTTTGATAGCGACTTTAAGACCATACACTTACTTTTTAAACTTTTTTTGTTCGGCATGCCGTCCCCCAGACAAGATAGTGGCGTTCGTGTCCTAGTGGTTAGGCTACCGGACCCGTAATTGTGAGACTGCAGGTTCCGGGGTTCGAGCGCTAGCTTGGTCCGACGCTGTGTCCTTGGGAAAGGCACTTTAAACGAATTTCCCAGTTGGCTCGGTCCTTTCGGAGATGGACACTTTACTCGGAGGTCCTGCCTCTTAAATAATCTAAAAGTGTTGACAGGGGCCTTAAACCTACGCCAATTCAATTCCCCAGACAAGATAGGCTACTCGCCCGAGCATGACACCTTGGTCAAGTACTTCCAGCGGGCCTTCCTGCACGAGAATGCCCTGAACCCCATGGTGTACCCAAGCCTCAGGTAAATGACGTCACTCCGCTGCTTCTGAATTACAAATTTCTATCTGGTCAATACCTAGTTTTGATAAATTTGACGTGAAAAATTTTGAATGTCATAATATTTCAAACTTCTTCGAATGCAATTCTTTGATTATCTAGATAAAGAGTCAGAAATGTCTTACAATTTTGATAAAGCAGCTAGATCATTTTGATTTCTAACCACATGGTCTTAGTAGCTCATCTAGGCCAAACGTGTCAAACAGAACTTTATAATTCTGAGGTAGCGAATAGTTACCTTAGAATTACAAAGTTCTGTCTGACATTTTTGGGCTTTATTGTTGATGTTGTTGACTTTTTTGTTTGGCCGTTTTGAGTGATCAAGACCAAGAGATCAGAAACCTGAAGCTCTCTCTTCATCTTCTCTATAATATAAAAATCGTAAGATTCTTTCTTGGAGTTGTTATCAAGATATTCAAAGAATTGCATTTTAAAAAAAGTTTAATCACAATGTGAAACTCAATTATCGTCAAATTTCTCAGAACTAGGTACTGAGCAGTAAGAACTTTGTAATTCCGGGGTAGCGCATTGTCAATGATTTACGTCTTCATCGGCACAGTTGGGCCCGACGTTGTGTGCTTGCACAAGACAATGTACCGTCAAACTTACTCTAACGACAACACGTCCAAGACAATCTTTACTTGATTTTTTCCCCCGCTTTTTACCGGTGGTTGTCACGGGGAGACGCCGGTGTCTGTCTGCAGCAAGGCGAGCGACCTGTACGAGGGACATCCCGCTAGCTCTGAGGGCGTCTGCCACAGATTCGCTACAGCGTCGTCTTAGTCTTCCACTGGCTCTCCAGCCAGAATATCTGAGGTTGTTATGCCCTCAGAGCTGGATGGTTTGAAGGCGTCCGTGTGAGGTGTCTGAACCACTAGATCCTCTGTTTCTCAATGTGTGGTAGGACTGGTGTTGCTCCAACCATGTCTCTTATGACTTCGTTTTTGATCTTGTCTCGTCTTGTCTTGTTTATCGCTCTTCTCAGACATTTCATTTTGCGTGTGACCAGCTTCCTCTCGAGGGCTTTTGTTAGGGACCATATCTCGTACTGATATGTGAGCGTTGGTTTTTAAAAAAAGAGGTTTTGATGAGCTTCGCCTTGGTGCTCATGGGGATATTGGGATGCTTCAGGAGAGGTGCGAGATGATAGCTGACCGCATTGCCAAGACTTGTGCAAATGACCACTTTCCATCCCTTCCTTCCAGCTTTTTTTTCTTGGGGGGTATTTTTATAATGACATTGTCCAAGACGTCCACCTGTCTGAGACAGCCACTTTTCTCCTCGACACTCATTAAGTGACCTATTTTGGACAATTTCGAGTTCACAGGAAGTTTAGTCACTACACCCAGGTGTGAGTGAATAGGTACCTGGTCATAGACAGCGAAAGTTCATGCCCGGATGTATGTTAGTTCATTTGTATTTTAGTCTCTGTAAAACAACAGATTGCACGCCCAAACCAACCAGGATTGGGGCGCGGG